GAGTATACAAATCCAGGTAACTCAGAGGTGGAAAGGTTAAAATGCATTCAGTCCAAACTTCTTGTTTTTTCTTTCAGTTTGATGTCAGGACTGGCAGCTCTCGATGCAAAATGTTCCAGTCGCCTCGGTCTGATCACAGTATCGTATTACCTGTGGACCACCTTTGTGGCTGTGATCGTGGGGATCATCATGGTCTCCATCATCCACCCAGGAGGTGCAGCCCAAAAAGAGGACTCTGAGGACAGCAGCAAACCCATCATGAGTTCTGCAGATGCACTCCTGGACCTGATCCGGTGAGATTAGAACATTTGTCTAAGTTTTCTGAAGAATTATCTCCAGGCCATGAATTAAACACAAATGCGACTTTGACTCATTTGATGGCAGTAGAAACAAAGCACATACTGCTACAGGCGCTGAATTTAGCGTGTGCTGTGTGAGATGGCCAACAAAGGTGCGTTGGCTATCTCATGGATTGGAGATTATATATTGGAATTTCAGGAGCAGGACCAGGCCACCAAACACGCTCATTATGGATGTCATCTGTATATAGGTTCCCCCAGTTCTGCAAGTTGTTCATTCTCGTTTACGTGTCCCACCCTCCCTCCTTGTTCTCAATTCTTTAACTTCTTCACTCCTATTCAGTACATGGGGATCTGCCAGGCCTGGGAGCCGTCGTCAGTCCCCTTCCAGGCCTTTCCCAAGCCGCAGCTCAGTTCATGTCCAAGCATTCACCTTTACCTACTAAAACGGTGACGTTGGCCCAGCTAGTGAATTTCTGTTCAGTTTAACCAGTGATTTAAGAATGAGGTTTGTTCTGTGGTCTTTACTTCATTCATGTAAACAAAGAGTCAAACTGAGTCAACACAGGCAGAGAAATCTCAACTTTTAGCATGGATACCAGACTCAACAATACTGGCAAGATAGTGGAGGATAGGTACTCCAGGTCTTTTCTTTGAATCTTTCTCACAAACATGTAAACACCTGCCAAAATAATCAAAAGTTCCATTGCTGTAGTTCAAACTTCACCGTCTGTCTCGACAGCAGTGTTTTGACATGATGACACACACCCTGAAAACAGGTATATAGATTTATTTTTTTTTATAAAATAGCGTGACAAGTTTCAAAAGTATGTTATTTCTTGGCGATTACTTTGAGCTAATAATTTAACCCACAATGGGTCGGTTAATGCTCCTCTCAGCTAGCGAAATTGCTTCTTTAATCATCAGAACAGATTTTATAACATAATTGGGAAATGGCTTTTACCGAGATCACCTTTTAACATGATAAACTTGCATTAGGTAACATAATGTGCTGGGGAACGGTGGCTGCTGAAAATGGGGCTCTGTACACCTACATAGATAATCCATTAAGAATCACAAAGTATTTATTTTACTTGTCATTTTTTTACATCATAAATAAAGAAATAGGAAATGTGCTTTTCTTTCAAAACTTGCAGATTTTAAAGTGACCCTAAACTAAGGGTAAGTAGGTGATGGTGTGTTTGCAGAGCAGACACAATCCTGACCGCACCCTAGTTTTTCAGGCTGTTCGGATTTGTAACAAATCCCGAGAGAGGATTAAACATATTGGTTGTCTTAAACTATTCAGTTCCCGTATTCTGGGATGACTTCATTGTTGACTAAAAACCATTTAATCTTCTTTAATAGAAGATGGTACTCAGTTTCTCATAAGCAGTATCTGTAAACAGGACTATTAACTGTCACCTGGCGCGTCTCTGTATCTGTTTGGTTTTCTAATCCAAGCATCTGATTTCAGGCTGTTTATTTGGATGGTGAGTCTGAAGCCAGTAATCAGAGCAGTGACCTTAAAAACTCTGTCAGTAAAAACTAACTAATGGAAGTGTGGCATGTGTTTGAGTTTTTGGAGTTGAAGTCTGCAGTTCCACAGTTTGACATTCAAATACAATACTATAGTCCTTAGTGCTTTTGTGTAAACTATATTGAAATCTATTTTAGACATTAAAAATACTGTATCGTATTCTGTTTTATTCTAGATATTTCCTTTATGTCAAGTTGTCTGCAGCCAGTAAAATTAATAGAATTAAACAGACAGATAATAATAGAAAAAAATGTCCATATTGCCATGTTATTTTGACATTTTTGACAAAACAAAACTCACATGTACGTAGTCTAACCAATCCAATATTACATTTAGAATAGAATAGAATAGAATAGAATAG